TTCTGGTTTTAGTGTTCGGGCACGTAGGTACACGTATCCGAAGGCCAACGCACGAATTTCGTTTTTCCGAATTCGACGCGACACCCCCGTTTTTGCGTTTAACGGGATTTAACGGGGGTCAGGGGTCCGTTAAACGGATGAACGCGCGTTCAATTTTTCGCGTTCTCCGTTAAAAAGATACACAGTCTGTCGCTATCTCTCTATATGTCCCCCGTCCCCCCCCCTTCCTCTGGACGCCTTTATTTATCTCTCTCTTTATATCTGTCTTGTAACGGCAATTACTTAACCGAAAGAAAAGTTCACCATCAACAAAATTATTATTCAGGCAACGTATGAACGACAGCCCAATCAACACCTCTCTCTTCCTATCTCTCTTAGTAGAGATATCAACTTCCTTTATTGGAACGGTACTCTTGCAGCAGCTCACGAATAGAAACTTGTTGCAACACTTTGCGACGATACTCCTGAAAAGTTCCGAATCGAGTCTGTCTTTGTCGATTGTAATCGAGATGAATGGCAGCATCCACACATCTCCAAGTGTTCATGTTCATATTCAAATGTGCTGCAGCTTCCACAATATCTTCCACCCTGCGAAAACTGTCAAGTTAGGACAGGTGTGCAAGTGTCTTTTTGGGACCAATAGATTCAAGAGAGTCATAGATCGCAATGTTAAAATTAGAAGAACTTGGTTGTTCCAAGGGTCCTGTATAGACATGGAGATGGTCTCTCGACGGCGTGGGAGCGGGCACAATACAACCGAAAGGAGATGGAGTAGCCATAGCGGCAGACGAAGCAGAAACAACAACAGAAGTAGTGACAATCGACGTTGACATAGTGGATGGGGTAGCATAATCCGGAAGACATTGAAAAGTTGGAGGAGATGCTGCTAGAAGGGGGAGTCTACGGACCGGAGCGGAATGAGGAGCGGAAGAAGAAGCCATCAGAGGAATTTTTTTTAAAAGACGGAGTATCCGTGCATATCTAAAAAAAGGTTGGGGAATAGGCCCTTCTATCAGACAATATGACAAATCAAACGTCATCCTAGCGATCTCCTCATTAGAGAGAGCAATGAGCTCGTCCTGCAAAAGGAATTGTAACATCCAAGAAGCCTCAAAATCTGAAACATTCAATGGGTTTAAAGGAAGAGTCCCAGGGGATTTTCGTTCCAACCGCATATCTGTGAGTTTGCTTCTTTCCCAGTCCAAAAATGTTTCCTATATATTTTCATTCTTTGCAACGCTCGCTGTTTGGACAAACATTTCAAAAAGCACCTCAGTCAAGACTTTTTGCAGGCCAACCTTCTTCGCATGGTCGAACCATTTGCCAAGAACATGTTATTCGTTAAAATAGGACATTATACTGTGTCCTCTTTCTAACGAATTCTTTTTTGGGTCAGGGCCAAGCAGCGTAGGCACGCCCATCCAGGGCTTAAGCACATGCACAAGTGTGCTAAGATCCCTACTTGTGGTGAAACTTTATAAATGATATCCCAAATGAGGAAGTGTGTTCAAACCCGTACATGTTAGACATGCCGCACGGGAACCTTGTGTGGAAGTTTGCCGGGATCCTTACTTGCAAAACTTCAAAAACATAGCACTGCTGGGAATCCTGTGCGGAAGAGTGGTGGGATCCGCACTAGTCAAACTTCATAAACGAATAACGATAGGCATGCCCATCAGGCAAACCCTGTGCGGAAGTGTGCTGGGATCCTTATTTGTTGAACTTCAGAAATGTGCCGGGAATCTTATGCCGAAGTGTGTCGGGATCCGTACTTGTTAAACTTCATAAACGAATAACGACAGGCACGCGCATCAGGGAACCCTGTGTGGAAGTGTGCTGAGATCCGTACTTGTTAAACTTCTATTCCATAATTATGACGAGCAATGTGTCATGATTGCATCCTCGTTGGATAATTATATTAGAAGACGTAGAGTAGCGACACACACGCCCATCCGAGATGCCTGTGCGATAGTGTGTCGGGAGCCACATTTGTCAAACTTCAAGTTTGTGAATGTGATGAGCAAGGTCTCATGATTGAATCCTTGTTGGATAATACTATTTATTTCCTTTGTGCGTGAGTTGTACATGCATGGCAATCGTCTTGCCCGAGGCGGTTGTCTGGATGTTGTAAAGATTCAGACTTCTTTAGAAGTACAAAAAGTTATTTTCGACATACAATTTATTTTTCCAGGTCACGAATGCAAAATTGTCGGTTACATGTAATTCAGGCGGTACATGATTGTCTATGCACACAAGAGACGTGATGTCACTGGTCTTTTACTCTTTGCAGAAAGAACCTCACACACACCCACACACTCGCCGAGATTTATCTTGCATCCACACTCTAATTCGTCATGTCGCACCACACACATGAATATCATTTCAAGGTGAATTATATGCACATCTTTGGATGACCTGAACACAATTTGCAACGACGACTGCAATGCGATGAATGTAATGGCACGACAGACAAGCCGGACCTGACAGAGATTCCGAAGGCAACACGCGACGCCAGACTGACAGTCAACATACCAAAGACAACTCAAACTCGCAACACCAAAAGAAAGTAATGTCGTTGTGAAAGCGACAGTCAAAATATGAAATATTCTGAAACAAAAGTTTGCAAATCAATCGAATCCATCAAGGACAACGACATTCTAAGATACATGCCAATTGTCGTGTAACATACGGAATATTTTCACAAGAGAACCTGAAAGGCGGTCGATCGCCACTTTGCAATAGTGTCGCAAACATCAACATAAGCACCCCGCAACTAACTCCATCCACTTGTCTTGGAACTCCCTCTATAACAACATTTGTTGCTACTGACTTCCAGCGCCTGCACGACCGCCTATGTGATGTTTGACATTCCAAATAGTGTACGATCAACTCGAAAACACTAAGGTAAAAACTAGAATCGGCTACAATGCAAGGAAAAGAATCGAAAATCTCAAGAACATTATCTCTCAAGTTCACGGAAATGAGGATTCAGTGATCATTATCTTTGAGGACCGGAACGAAGATAATATCATATTGAAGCAGATCCACGTTTTTAGCCCATCTTTCCACCACGCCGTGTTCTTGAAGTTGTAGTTTACTGAAGAAGAAGTAATTAAAGCTGAAGACTCGAAGGCCTGACGGGATGTCACGTATCCCATATGCGGTCGTTCCCAATAGCGCCATGTAAAAGTTGACGACCTCATCATTCACCCTGTCGTCGGTAAGTGAGAGGGTTAGAATATCCTTCGCTGCAATGCTCAACTGACCATTGCCGAGGGTCGAGAGTACAGTGTCATGTGGCACCAAGCGTCGTTCAATGTCGTCCAAAACCCGCAAGCTTCCAATCGCAGTCACTGCTGTTTCAGGTGTCGTGGCCCGCACTGCACAACATCGAGCAAAGGACAGGGGGGGAAGTGAGAAACGGAACTCTAAGGATTCTCCTTCATCGCACGACGAGTAGCTAAGTATTTCTCATACATGGTCTGACCCTAGTCACAAATCGTGTATATCTCCCTTTCTCTGGGGGCAGAAGGGAAAGACACTCCTCAATGGCAATGGCATGCTCCTTCTTCCCGATTTCGACATCAACTCCTAACGCCTTTAACATGTCCTTGTGTTTTGTCGTCAACCCCGGGACTGTCTGCAATATGTATTCTGGATATTTAGAGTGCCTCCGTGTTCGAGACGACCCTACCCCTGTACAACATACGAAAGACAAAACGAAAAATGAATACACGAAGAAGAACCCACGAAAGGACAATAAAAGAACCACGAAATCTAAAAGACGCAGGACCTATGCAATTACAGAACCCCGCCATGCCATGAGAGTGCGAGAGAGAGAACTTCCTCATTAGCCACGCTGCAAAACAAAACGAGCAGTGCACTCGAGCTCGACACCCCTGCCCTTCAGAAGGGAAAAGCACATCAAGTCACAGAAGTGGAAGCCAAACATCTATGTAGTCCGGATCCCGGCGGACTTTTCTGACCCAGGGAGATGACCCAACCCCTAAACAAATGAAGGAAGAGAAAACGGAAAATAAATATACGTAATCCAAGACGAATCCGACGAAAACGACAATTCAAGAACCACGAAATGTAGAAGACGTAGGACCTATCTAATTACAAAACCTCGTTTAGCCATGAGAGAGACAGATAATACTTCCGCGCAAGCCCCGCTGGGAAACAAAAGGAGCAGTGCGTTCGACCTCGACACCCCCGCCCTTCAGAAGGGAAAACCTCAACAAGCCACAAACGCGGAGGCCAAACATTTATGAAGTCAGGATCCCGACGGACTTTTCTCAATCGAGGCACAAAAAGAGTAACCGCATTACGCAGTGGCCTTGGCAGTGCGGATCCCGGTGGACTAAAACCACCACTCATTCCGAAAAAGAAACACCATCCTTTCATCATGTGACGGGACGCTTCAACAAAAACACACATGTACTTCACACAGTGACCTGGCCGACTCACAGGATGGTCGTTCACATGTACTTGGAAGTTTGAAGGAGTGGTGGCTGTAGCATGCCGACATCAGGAACTCCCCGCATCGACAGACACTGCGGTCACTGGCACACAGACAGAGTGGCGTTTGTCACTGCTTACCAGCTGGTTTGTCTCTCCGCTCCTTAATCGGCGAAGTTGGCGCGGGCAAGGCCAGCACGTCGAGAGCTCGAGTGCCGGCGACAGTTTTTTTCGGGGAGGTGACGTCTTGTCGTCCCCCGATCTCGCCTTCTCCTCCGCTGGCGATGGTCGGCGGCAGCATCGGAGAGTTCGCCGGCGACAAAGCCACGACAGATCCCCCGGAAGGTTTGACGTCGAGAGGGTCGTCGACACTAGGCGTAGAGGACGGCTGCGTGGACATGTGGTGGTCGCCCAGGATGCCGTCGATAACTTCTTCGATGTCAATACGCACACTCGGTTTATTCAGGCTGACCGCAACACTAGCGTTGTTGAACCGTTGTTGGAGATCGACGACAAACGTCATTGCTTCGACCTCATAGTCATCACGTTCTGCCGAAAGGCTTGTGACCACCTGTGTCTCCATACCCAGTGCCGTGTCATCGTCGTCGTCGTCTTCCTCGTGATGTTCTCCGTACAGCTGTCCGAATCCGTCAGACGACTCTCCAGATCTGTCATCGTCGTCGCCGAACGTCCGTTCGTCGTCTCCAGTATCGAGTTCACCTTTTTCCCCGTCATTCCCTCCTAGCAATCCAACCAACTCCGTTTCTTCCCCTTCCTCTCCTTCCTCCCGTTCCTCCTCTTCTTCCTCCCCTTCATCCCCTCCTTCCTCCAATTCCTCCCCTGTATCTCTTTCCTCCCCTTCCTTCTCTTTGTTCATCACCTTGCCTTCTTCTCGTGCATGCAATCCAGCCACTTGGCCCGAACCCGTGTCGAATTTCGACGAATGCCCTTCCCGCTCGCCGCACGCAGCCCCTCCCGCCGGCACGACAATCCCTGGTTGGCCCCTCTTGCCTGAAGAAGTTCGGATCCCGGCGAACTTCGCCGTCTCCCTGTCGTCGGGCCTACCCTCTCGCTCCGACCGAAGCGGTTGGCGGTCCCCCGCAGGCGGCGCAGTCCCGTCCCTCACCGCACCGCTGTCCATTTTGGGATCACGACTCGCCACCCCCACTACTGACAAGCTCTGCGCGTCCGTCCTCTTCGTCCGCTCTGCAAGCATTGAAGTTCGGATCCTGGCGGACTTGAACGTTTCGACCGAGCCGGCATGGAGAGCAACCAAGGCCGCCATCACCGAGCCGGCGGATGAAGTGGGCACGTTCGCTGACTGTGTAGACTGCTGACGCCCGAAGGCCTCCCCCGCCACCTCGCCACTGCCTTCCGCTGTCGTGGTGTCGCCCTGAGACCCGCCTCCGAACCAGGCGGGACTCCTTTGCCGCCACCAGCCTCGTCGCCCTCGTTCTCCCCACCGTCCGGTCCCCGGGACCCTGTACTTACATGCGTCCCACTGGGATGGGGGATTTTCCAGTCCACCCTTCCCTTCGAGGGCCTCGTAGCGAGGTCGTAGTAGTCCTCCGTCAGCTCCAACCAGCACTTGTCCTGAAGTTCGGCGAACAATCGCCCGGCGGTGGAAATGACGGACACGTCTTCGGGTGCGAAAGAGTCATTCTCGGCCCTCACTTTCTGGAGGACCGCAATTCTAGCGACGTCGAGGAAGTCAGACTTCGACCCACGAGGGAAGGGCACCCATTCTCCGTCCGGGACAGCGACGGCCACGATCCACTCACCCTTTTGAATCGCCGGCTGGATGACTCCTGGATGCCAAATCATGTCATGGCCTCAGTCCGCCTCCGTGAAACGACTTTGAGGCTCAGGCAGGAAGTGAATGTTGGCATCCTTCCAAGACAGATGATCGGCCGGGATGTCAGACCCGGGACGCAGTGAGCGATGGCCAGAGGCCAGAGCTTGCATTCTCTGCAGCAACTTCATCAAGGAAGTGCCAGGCGCCGCTTTCGCCATCGGTGACACGAGGGATGTCGGGCTTGTGGACGGACCTGCGAAGGACGACCCTGTTGTGTGCTGCCCGGGATGCGGGTCGTACTACAGGTCGAGGCTTTCGGTGTCGCTGCCCTCCTCGTTCGCGGTCGCGTCTAACTTGATGCCGGTGGTCTCCTCGTCTTCCGTGGAGATCAAGGAGGAGTAACTGCTGAACGTCAACTCCTCCGACTCCACGAAGTACAGGGACTGCAACCTCTCGAGGAAGGTCTTTGCGTTCATGCGGGAGGCGTCGTGGTAGTGGTCGAGCAGCGTGAACATGTGATCCTTGCGGCGCACGTACTCGGCGTCAGTGTCTCTCTTGGGCTGCGTTTGCAGGAACAAGAAGTCGTATATCTTGTTTCGCTTCCTCGCACTCAACTTGAACCACATGTCCGTCTTGCTGTTCCACGCGCGAGGGCGAGACTCGTTGATGATCATGAACTCGCAAATGTGGGCACCCGAATTGACTTCGCTCTTGACGAGATCAATTGTAAATTGCAAGAGCTCGGATTTCCCTTCCATTGCGATGACGTGCCGTCCTGCCTTCACCAGTTCCCACACGGATCGCAGGTGTGGCTTCCCGAGGAAGCATACACCCTCCCCCTTCTTGGTGACGGACTCGAGAAGATTAACGAATTGCGCGGGGTTGCGTTCCATGTCCCCGTACACACTGCCCTGACGCGTAGGCGAGACATGCGACCAATCGCAAGGGTTGAACGGGATGTCGGACACATCCGTTTGCATAACCTTCTGCGGCAGCCGCACTGCAGCAGCGGCGGCAGGCAACAATTTCCCCTCGTAGACGACGGACGTGTTAGCGCGCAAATCGTCGCCTTTGAAGAGTATGTACATCCGGTCGTCTTCCGTGTACAAATTATTCCCGANCTGCCCCGACGCGCAGGTGAGACATGCAACCAATCGCAAGGGTTGAACGGGATGTCGGACACATCCGTTTGCGTAACCTTCTGCGGCAGCCGCACTGCAGCAGCGGCGGCAGGTGGCAGTTTCCCCTCGTAGACGACGGACGTGTTAGCGCGCAAATCGTCGCCTTTGAAGAGTATGTACATCCGGTCGTCTTCCGTGTACAAATTATTCCCGACGGGGAAGCTTTAAATTTCTTCTGTTGACTCTTCTTCACCCACTTCCCTTCCAACATTTTCACGAAAGAAAGGTGGTTCATGCTGGCCAGAAATGAGAGATTCTGCTGCCGCAGGACGAAAATGACGAGCGTCCAATGCGATAGACACCACGTCTGAAGTTGGGAATCCAGAGTGTCGAATGCTTGCGGTTTCCACAGCTTCAAGTCCACCGGTTCGCAGAGATCGAGGACGAACGTGTGACTCTTTGTGGCAACTACCGCCTCCTTCACCTCCGCACACCTTATGTCTGTCTCCAAGGGATCGTTGCCAAATGGCGCGATGGATGTCACGTCACCTGTGTCTTTCCCTTTTATGTGCACAATTCCTTCGGCAACCACGATCTCGCGACTGTTCAGTCTATTGCCAGTCAAAACGGACAGGACCTTATTCCTCCAGTTGACGGACAGCTTCTTGTGACCGGCCAACTTCTCCGTTGCCTCGATTGATTGGTCGTCGTCGCAGCCCATGTAAGGCGGGCAGTCCTTGAACAACGAGGAGTCAGCGACGTATTTCGTGCTCCCGTCCCACAACTCTGCATCCAAACCACGACTCTCAAACTGTTTGAAAATTGCGGACCTTGTTTTCAGGAACGGGCACCTCTGGCTCCAATCCGCGTCCGACCTCTTCTCGTGCTGGAACTGGTAGTAGTTCCATAGACGCACCAGCAACCGGTCACACTTCACCAAATGAACCATGTCCTGGACGCTCAGCTTCCCGAGCTTCGCTAACGCCGCAGAGCCGGCCTGGACCCAAACCACCTCGCAAGCGAGAACCCTCTTCAGCACGCAGCACTTCTCGTTGTCGGTCAGCGACTCCATCGATTTCCAACAATGTGCGTCTGGCTCAGGCACTTGCACGAACCAGTCGCTCTCCTCTTTCTCCTTTTTGCCTTTCTTTGTCGGCGGGTCCACAGGGTTGTTGTACACGACCTCTTTCCTGCCCGTCTCGTCTTTCTCGACGTAGGCAACCCCGGGCTTCACATTTTTTACCTTCATCTTCCACATGATCCACTTTGCGCCATCGTGGCCGAGCAATCTACCAGTCTCCCATTTATCAAAAAAGTCAACGGCCAGTTTCCATACGTTCTCCCCTGCCATCGCCAGCGGGAAATAGGAACGTAGGGCAGCGCCTTGCTTCCTGATGGCGTCGTCGCCCTTCTGATCTGCCAGCATCCACAAGTTGTTGTGCGGCGTCATATTGAGCGCGACTTCACAGAATTCACGCCAGTTTCGGACCTGAGCCTGTTTTCCGTTGGGGTTTCCCATAACAGCACGCGGGCACCCGTCGCGCTTCCACTACCACCTAATGTCTTTCATTGACAGCTTCAGCTGTCTCGGGGGCGCCTTCAGGTCCTTCTTGTTGTCCTGGGAACTGACAAGGAAGTACCCTTCGAAGTCGTCGTCCGAAAAGTAGAACATTCGTGCAGGCCACCGCTCGAAATTATATTTCCTGGCCACCTCACTGCCGAGCAGCAACCTCGCTGCAGCCACGTTGTGCTGCCCACACACCGCGTAGTAGTAGTATTGCCCCGCCAGCTCATTCCTCCATTCCTCCGGCCTCAGACGTTCTGCCTTGGTCCCCGAAGTTGGCTTATCAAGCCCCAGCGGTGCCAGCTTCAGGGTAGGCAAATCGTAAGACTGCGCTTTGTTTTCGAACGCCAACCGCATCGCTTCTTTGATCCCTTCCACGAGCATGGGATCCAGGGACCGCTGGTTGTACAGGTCCTCCCACTCTCCGAGGTCAACGACCTGCGCAGGGCTAACCTCGAACTCCCTCTTTGTCCGAACGTCGTCTTTGTACTCGAGGAAGTACCCGGCGTCGACGACGATTGGAGGCCTTTCCGTCGGTGGAGAAGACGTTCCAGACACAGGCTGCTTCTGTCTCGAAGCCGACCGTTTGGCAACCTGTCGGCCCTCCTCCCCTTCGGTCCCCTTTCATTTCTCTCCCGCAGTCTTGGGGGCCTTGCTCTTCAACTTCTTCGAAGAACCGACGAACTCGTCTGTGCGATCCCCCCACCTCTTTTGCGGAGTGCCTTGCGTGCCCAGACCGCCCGCGGTCACCTCATCCACACTCTGGCCCTCGCTCGCCTCCAAGTCGACCTCCGAAGAGGCTGACACCTTTTCTGTAGGTTCCGCACTCTCCCGTCGAACCGGATCTCCAATGTCGACCCCTGGAATAGACAACACCGACCGCCGCTTGTCCCTCAACGGCGCTGCAGGCCCCTCGTCCTCGCTGTCGTCGAACTGTCCCCGGCTCTCGCCACGGTGCAGCTGAGTAGCCGGACCAGAACCCAGATCATCGCCCTCCGCCGCCACCCCGCTTGACTCACAACCGCCACACGGCCTGAATGGCGACGAGAGCTCCAGGGAGGGGCTGACGTCGCAGGGGACGTCGAGAACGATGTTCTTGTCCTCCAGCTTGTCGAAAAACTCACGTGCCAAAACAAAACCACCCACGAGAACGAGTTCTCTGTAGGACGGGGTGTCCACAGCACCCGCTCCGAACCCCTCACACAATTCGAGGTCCAACAACACCCCTTTCGAATTGGCAACGACGTTGCCTTTGGAGCCATAAACCTTTTCCATACTGAAATGTCGCCGGCCCCCCTTCGCGTCCTCCCACCCCAAGACGGCCCCAAGCACTCGACGCCTTTTGCCGTCATCGACGAAGATGACAGGACCACATGGTTGCGCAGTGGGGTTGGAAGCGTCTCCACAACACCAGTCGATGAACCATTTCGACTTTGAATGGTTCGACCACCCTTTCTCGGCAGTAAACGACCTCCTCGTGGAATCTTTTCCAGATGTCTTCCCGGAGGTCCCCGTTGCCTCTACCTCGCCCTTTGAAGAAGACATCCTGTCTGCAAATGACAACCCAAATCACACCACGCACCATGCAGTCAAGGTTTTGGAAAACACATCAGGAACAGAACAGTCGTCGGCACACGGCAACGCAGGCTCTTGCGCAGCGAAATCCGCACGCAAAGACACCCCGAAACCCAACTTAGGAACGGCTAGAATGGGTAGTTCGTCGGGATCCGAATTTCAATAGTGCACGAGGCGGAGAGGCAGAGTGTCGGGGATCAAGCGTCGTTTATGTGGCAGACGGCGTACCGGAAGAATAAAGAAAGACCAACGCATAGGGAAAATCGAGAAGTTTGCCGGGATCCGAACTTCACGACTGCCGGTCATTTTCAAAGCTCGCGTTGGACGGTGCAGTGTCCTCCGCCCAGCACTCGGAACCCGGACAGACTAGCACGCGAAGTCCGCCCGGGTCCAGACTAAAAGACGGTGCGAAAGAAAGAGAGAAACAGCCAGCCCATGCATTTGGCGTTCCAGAACTTTTCTCAAGCGAACACACTCCGCAAATGCATTTGATCAAAACCAGAAGTCGGAGACGGACTCTCCCCGTCACCGGGCGGGTTGTGCGAACCAGCGGACGGGCATGTCCGAAGAAAAACCAACGCACCTCCCGAATCGTGAAGTTCGCCGGGATCCGAACTTCAGGACGATGCGACAGGCAGAAACGGCGTCAGAGACACACGATCCGTGGACTCAAAGAAAAACACGACATGGGAATGGCACACAAACATGAGAGGCCGGTTGAGAAGGATTAGTTCGCTGAAATCCGAACTTCTTCTGATATGCGCAGCAGCCTTGACAACATTGTGTGGGTCCCTGGCGGGGCAGAACGAAACGTGTGGAGCAGCGCGGACAGGAACTGTTGTCGCATTCCATGGGGGATCAGGAAGACCAGTGTGTATCCAATAGACAGGCGTCACAGGAAGTTCGTCGGGATCCGAACTTAAGGACGCTTCGAGAAAGACACACAGAGAGAAATATCAGATCACGTAAGAGGTTAGACGCAAGACGGGGTCCGAGCAAGGTGTTGGAGGGAGAACTTCAGAATTGTTCGGCCAGCGTTGAACTCTGCGACTGGGATCCCTAAGAGTGCTTTTGGCATTTCACAACGACAATGCTCGACTGTTTGGCACATGTCGATGGTGGACAGGCGGCAACCGAACGCGGACAGGGCACACTGCACTCCGGTTGGCGGCGGTCTCAGATCGCAAACGTGCCCAGGCGAAACTGGTCGCAAATCTTTTACGAACGCCGCGCCCAGCCGGATTTAGGTCTCTGGCAAACACTTGTAGCTCGAAGGCCGGTCGGACGGGCCTGCGACCTCAAGCAAGACCCGGCCCGTTGGCCCCGCTGGTTCGTGCGGCCCGCCCGACGCCAGCAGTGCCGAAGCCAACTCAATGCACACCCCAAAACACGAAGTTCGCCGGGATCCGAACTTCGCCGGGGCGCGACAGTGAAGGAGACGGCGTCAGAGACAGACCTCTCGTTCAGATGTGTCGACATTTGGGGTTCCCTTGGGACGAGGTAGTGAACCGAAGCCATACAAAGCATTCATTGATGATCCGTATACATGCATCTGCGGTTCGTCTATCGATGCCCTCTCGGAAAAGATGGACATGTATTTCATCCTAACAAACACACGCGGTCGTGCTAAGGAATTCCCTATGCAGTCCCGTATATCGCACACTTTCTCCTCGACCTCACGATGCATCGAAAAGTTTCGGACCTGCCCTGCTATAACCAAATCACGCCACCCATCTACACGTTCAGGCCCAAGCGTCTCCACGAATTTGGACCCCTCAATCACCACCTTGTTGCGTGACACAAGCACAACTGCATCGACGAGTTTCCTGCTCTTGTTCGAAGCAGCGACACACGGAACTCAGGCGAAATCAGACCCGGACACAGTCAATCGCACACAACAGTATGACACAGCTTGTGGAGAATTCCCGGGGTAGCGGAGCGGGTACTGCTCTAGGAATGAGCAGTGGCGAGCGTAGTCCACCACTCTTGTTTCCGGGGGCATCCCCAAGTTCGAGGCGACGACCTGACGTAGTGGCACTCGAGGTGGCTGAAATGGCAGCTAATGCAGCCAGTGCTCTGCGCATATGGTTCAGGAACTTGTGTACGAGGACAGCGTCAGACACCGGGATGAGGTTCCCGAACTCCAACATGTTGGCGAACTTGTACTGTCTTGCCCAAGGACAGTGACTCTCCATCGTGGCCCAATTCCGATCGCACCAGCCGTCAACATGCCCCTCCAGGCACAGGACGACCGTCATCCAGGGGTCCTTGTCGAAGTCCTCTGCGGTCGCTCCGTGGATCGTAGTTACACCGTCAAAATACCGCACGGATCGCGTGCAAGGAGGAAACAGTTCTGCCAAGCGAATGTGCATCACGGGACTCATGGTCTGTGGTGTCGAGAAGATCGGCTCCACGATTCGTGGTGTCGAGAAGGTCGCCTCCATTACACACCCTACACAACACGCGCACATGCCAAACGACACACACAGACACGGAGACACTCGTAAACACGTCGTGTTTCGCGATCTGCGACCCTTGGCATCAGACGGAACGCACGCTCGAAGATTCGATTTTGGGGGGTCGACCTGGTCGGTGTTCACATCTGCCGGCCGGTCGGCCACCCGCAATCATGTCCCACGAGAGTTGGGCACCTCATGTTCGTCATGATCAGAATTTGGCAAGACTGCGCGGGAGAAACAAAGTTGTCTCTCAAACTCGGCGTCCCAAAAGTTCTTGAAGTTCGCATCCCGGCGGACTTCACATTTTTAAGAATCCGAAGTTGTGGCTATCCATCGGCCGCCAGAAAAACCCCACAGTTAGAACCCACACCACCCGAAAATTGAAGTACACCTGGGTCCGAACTTGACGACCACACGAGGAACCTTGCACGAGAAGTTCGGATCCCAGCGAACTTCGCATTCTCTCGAATCCGAAGTTCGCCGGGATTCGAAATTGACGACTGTCCGAGGAACCGTGCACGACAGTTTTAGATGCACGGCCCAGCAGGCCGGCCGCAAACACGAATTGCGAAAGGAGGAAATCTCAAGTTCGCCGGGATCCGAACTTGGCGAAATTGCGCGAGAGAGACACAGCTGGCGAACTTGACGATGGGATGAGGAACTGTGCGCGAGAAGTTCGGATCTTGGCGGACTTCGCATTTCTGCGAAACAAAAGTCGTGGCAAACCACCGGGCGCGAGAAAGCCCACAGACAGAACCCACACCATGCGGGAAGCGAAGTTCGTCGGGGTCCGAACTTGACGAGTGTACGAGGAACCGTTCACGAGAAATTCGGATCCCGATGGACTTTGCGTTTTCACGAATCCAAAGTCCGCTGGGATCCGAACTTGGCAAACGTGCGAGGAACCGGGCACACGAGGTTCGGATCCACGAGAGGGCAAGCGAGCCGCAAAAATGTCTGGCAAAAGGCGGGAACCTGTTGTTCGCAAGGATTTGAACTTGGCGAAACCGCGCGGGAGAGAAACAACCGGCGAACTCGGCGACTGAACGAGGAGCCATGCGCGAGAAGTTCGGATCCCGGCGGACTTCACATTTTTCGAATCCGTAGTTGTGCCAATCCCTCGGGCGCTGGAAAGTCCGCAATCGGAACCCACACAATGTGGAAAGCGAAGTTCGCCAGGGTCCGAACTTGACGTCCGTGCAAGGAACCGTGAAGGACAAGTCCGGATCTCGGCGGACGTCGCATTTTCACGAATCCGAAGTTCACCGAGGTCCGGAGTTGACGATTGTGCAAGGAGCCGTGCAAGCGATGTTCGGATCCACAGTCTAGCGGGCGAGCCGCAAACATGTCTTGCGAAAGGCTGGAACCTGAAGTTCGCCGGGGTCCAAACTTCACGAAACTGCGTGGGAGAGACACACCTGTTTGCCAAACTCGCCGTCCAACAAATTCTTGAAGTTCGGATCCCGACAGACTTCAAATTTTCACACGTCCGCGGCTGTGGTTGGGGTTCGGGGTTGCAAAGCGTGTTCGAACAGCTGCTCAAGCTCGCCCGAATCCGGACTTCTTCCGGTGTTTGATTGCGCGATCAGTTCGGTTGGCACTGTCAAGTTTGTGCTAGCGGATTAGGACGGTCATGTTCCGATGACGAGGACTGTACCGACGATGCGTGGGGTGGTGGCTGCTCCACGTTCGCCGTTCAGTGACCGTCAGGTGTCGATGACCCGACGTCCTCCAAAGTTCGACGTCCGACGAGGTTCGACGCCCGCCGAGGTTTGATGTGGAGCCGGGTTCGATGTTATACGACGTTGGATGTGCAACAAGATTGTGACGAAGTGCTTTTCTTCCGTTCCCAGATCGGGATCGACTTTCGATGTGCGACAACATTGTGACAAGGTTGTGTGATTTGTTCGTGGGTTTCGATCGTGCACATGATCATTTGCCTTGAGGATTTTTCGCGATCAATGTGCACAAAATAGTCGATTGGTCATGAAATTTGCCAGTATCAGCTGATTTATCGGCTGCTCAGTTGGGGGTTGGTGTGGTGGTTGATCAATCGCCAATCAATGGATCCAGGCAGAATACCTGACCAATCGACTGTTCAGTCCATGACTATCAGGTGGTTAGATAAACAGGTCGCTCGCCGACGGGTTGCATCTCGCACACGCAGACGCACAGAAACACGYGCACRCACATCGCCTTGCGAAACAMAAAACAGGTTATGGTGCTCATACAACACACACASGCACACGCAAACACACACRCAMGCATGCACATCGCCGCGTGTGTTTTGGTTTTGCCATTGAGACGATCRAAACACACAATYGGCGACGTCTTCSGTGCAGCACACACGAGCAATCGTCCGATCGCAAGTAATATATTGCCTGGTCGGTTGGATGCGTTTGTGATCCAGACGTTGTCGCCTCGTGCATTGATTAATCATCCGTTCGGCAGATCAGGGGCGATGTTGTTGGGGCAGCTAACAACATCTATCACTCGATCGCGAGTGGTCGGCTTGTGTTTGGTGATGGGTCGGTTCATCACGTGTGTGGTGTGCATATTGTCATGGATCAGATCGATCATCCCATCACGAGTGGTCTGAACACAGACGACAGAACGAACAACACACACGAGGTAATAACGTCGACACGGCGGACACGATCAATCATCCGATCACGAGCGATCTCATTGTGTTTCGCGATTGGTCGATGGATGCGTTCGCTGTATCGACACTGCCACCGCGTGTTCTGATTGATCATCCATTGGGCAGATCGGCGGACGTGACATTGGGATCAATCAGGATCGGTCGAGTGTGGCAAGATGAGGTTGAGCACAGCACGAGCGCAATCGTTTTTGATACTTTCCTCGAACATCCATACACAAGCGCCATTCGGGGAATCTAAGTGGAAATCATGTCTTTCATCCCTGACCTTGCACATTAGCGCGTATCTCCCCACGCTCAATGTGCACGAACACACGCACACGCGAACAAATATGCACAGACAGGCACACGCACACACACACACACACACACACACACACACGCCATCGCATGGCGCCCACACACATACGCCCCTCAGGCACAGACACGCGCACGATCCTGCCTCGCGCGTGTGGCACACACTTCATACGAACACGTACACAATGGAACACGCACTCGAACACACACAAAAACAATGAAGCACACGCAAGCACACACTCGCACACAAACACACACACACACACGCCCACCGGCACACATGCAGACACGACCTCTTTCGATCTGCGCGAGCATATCATCACAAAACCCGCCAACACGCGCGCACATGCAAACATACGTCCCGGCTGCGTGCGCACTCACCATGTGAAACTGTCGAGTTGAGATGTGCGCGAACCCCGGCGTTAAACGTGACGGCACGCTGTCGACCTTTGGGTGTGTGCTTTGCATTTGCGAGGGTGCTGCGTAGGGTGATGGTTGCGCCTTTCGAGTAAGGAGAGCGGTAGCAACGTCGAATATGACGTGGACAGCGACTTGGTAGGCGGAGGGACATGCGAGGGCATGCGGGGTGCGTCGGTGCCAGGAAACGAGCGCGTTGAAGAATGGCAATGCCAGCTATGGCGCTCCAGCTGTGCGCGGCACTGCTGTTGACGACAGTGGCGGTGCGTGGTTTCTAATTGTCGCGAGGGGGGCCTGGTGCGCGCATTGTGACAAAAAAATTCCCTGCAGCTTGGCCCTTCTCGGACGTCATCGGAAAACGGGCCCCTCGCGTTCGTGTCATCGGGTTTATTGGCCCCGGTCGAGGGGGGTCTGAGGCATCACGGGGGGGCAGTTTGTGCTTTCTAGTCCGTCAGCGGGGGAGCGAGGGGGTGGCGGGGGAGG